AAACAATTGTTTGGACGAATGTCAAAACCAAACAAAATAACAAGACATAATCATCATCATCATCATAAGGTCGTCAGTCCTAAGCCTGGTTGGACACGCACCTCCACTCTTTCCTTTCCTGAGTTAATCTTCGCGTTTCCCTAAAACTAGAACAACCCATATCCTTAACCATTTGCGAACAGTAATCCAGTCTAGGTCTACCTCTATCCCTCCTATATTTTCAGAAGTTCCTAGCGTTAAGACGAATATTGTGCAATAATTATGTAATTAATATGTATGTAAGGTTTTAATGTATTTTGGAAATAGCCGAGAAGGCTAATAAAGTTCAATCAATCAATCAATCCTAACTCCCGTTTCTGTCTCTGAGTAGATCTTCATGCCTGAGAAGGTGTCTTACCAATCTATCTCGCCTATTTCTTATCGACTTCCATAGAGTCCTCTGTTCTCCTATTCTTTCTAATATCGCTTCATCTTTAACCTTCTCTATCCACGGTATCGTCATCATTCGCCTGCAACTCCTCATTTCGAACGCTTCTAACCTTTCCTTTTCCGCCGCGCCCACTGTACATGTTTAGCACCCGTACAGTGTCGCGCTTCAAACATATACCTTTAACAACCTTTTTCGAATTTCTAAATTAACCGTTCGCGAGCACAGAAGTGATTTCTTTTTATTGAAGGCGACACAACCCTGCGCTATCCTCTGCTTTATATCCCTACAACTCCTTCCGTCCTGACTTATCTGACTTCCTAGATACCTAAAATCAGTCACTTCTTCTAATTTTTCATCTCCTATCTTTATATTCGTTCTTTCCCTGCTTTTTCTTCGTTTGGATACCAGTATTTTACTTTTACTTTTATTTATTTTCATACAGTACTGTTTTGTCAGTACCGCTTCCATTTTATTTAAAGCTATCTCTAACTCCTCTTTACTAGATGCTATAGATAATCTGCAAATCTAAACGTACTAATCTTTTACCCCTTGTATATCTACCCCTACAGTTGTACTGTCTTTTATGATGTTGATCGCGTTTTCGATGTATAGATTAAAAAGTAAAGGTGACAGTATGCATTATTACGTAGATGTCAACTCTTTTGAATAATGTAGAACGAGGAACACGTTTATTTTTTATGAATAGCAATGATTTGTTGAGGAAGTTCAAGGCAATGCGAGCCGTGACTCTCGATTCATATTTTAATAACCGCGAGTGCACTTTGACGGGTTATTCATTAAATATTTTATTTCGTACTACTCGAAGCGGGTTCCGTTTGCGCGTCGTAACTCGTAGTTGATAAATTTCCTTTCGTGAAACGACTCAGTTGACTACGATTGCATTTTCCGATGCTATCTATCGATTTTCCTGTCTAGACGGTTCCATTAAGTCTGGAGACGGAATGAAAGTGGAAGGAACAGGTGTCTGTTGTCTGACACATAATTTAATTGTTCTTTCACGATTCAAACGTTATGAGTATGGTATAAGTGATGTACCATGTATATTATAATGAAGCACTTGAAGTTCCACATTTTTTTTCAAATTTTTTCTTAAACGCGTATTTCGTCTCACGAGACGTTTAACTATTGAGGCAGGCTTGAGGAGGAAGTCGATGTTTTCTCACTTTTGCTGGAAAATAGAACGCGGGTGTTATAAATCTTAGGTATCATGTAAGATAAAAAAGTTTTAGAATTATATTCGCTTTTGAATGAAGTTTTTTTAAATGACTTTCCAGATGCGGTAAGTGTCACTTCTTGGTGGACACCCACTTGACCGTAAGACCAAGACTAAAACCAAGAACGAAAGAACAAGACCAAGATCGAACATGCAAGATCAAGACGAAATATGTAAGACCGAACAGAACAATATTACTTCTGGTGGAGTTATGAGTTAAACTGTTTGAAGCAACTTCAATAGATTCTTTTCTTGGGACAAACCATTTTTAGTATTTGCAATTTTTCAGTTTTTAAGACTAGATGTAAAAACAGGAATTTTACCGCTGTTTTAAAAAAGAGATCTACAAGAATGCCCTCGGAGAAAGTTGTTCATTGTTTTTTAATATTTCTTACTTCCATCAAGTACTTTGTACTGTTTACCTAGTCATCTAAAAGGTCAATTTATGTGTTGGAGGAAGGACCAATTTATCCATTGGAGGAATAATAAGGATATGTTCTCGAGTTTTTATAACGTTCGCAACTATGACACTATTTTATTTAAAACTTATGACAGGCTCGCATGTATGACAGAAAATTATAGCATTTACGACAACTGTTGTATCGGTAAATAGAAAAATTTGTGCTTAGAAGAATTAATTAAGATTAAATGAGCAACACCACGACTTAACAGACAAGATCAAGGCCGAGATGGTATCAGCAAGACCAAAACTAAGACTAAGACTAGAAGTATTTGGGTAGACCAAGACCAAAACCAAGATTAATATCAAAAACTACTTAGGTTTTATAAATATAGCTGCATTTTACTGCTTTTTTATCTGGGTTATTAAGTTCGGACAGAAATTAGATTTTTAAAAAACTAAGTCGGTTAGAAGCATAATTAATGTTATAGATAAATTTTTCTAAAGAACAGTTTGTAATATCGACGTATTATTTTGTAATTTGGTCGTTATTCTAATGATTACACCGTTTTTGAAACTGATAAACGGTTTTAAAATATTTGCAAATTTGACTTTAGATAACGTCCGAATATTCACTTGCTTATTATCCTTTGAAAATTTAGTAAGTAGCAATAACAATTAGCAGACGTCTATAAGATTTGTTTGCTCATTGAAGGACAAGTAATATTAAGGTTTTAACATAGGTTAAAATGTGTCATTAAAACTACTAAAATAGTGCCAAAATTAAGTAAGCATTTTCCTTGCTATTATGGCAATAACTATCATGATGCGTAAAATAAACATTTTACTGTTTGAATGCTAATACATTAAGTAGAGGACGTTTTTTAACAGCTTCAAAAAATAAAGTCAACAACAAGGTCATAGGTTTTTGTTTATAATTGATTGACCTTTAACATTTTACAGAATTTTTATGAATGCTGGAAGATAAGATGATGATAAACTAAAATTTTAGATAAATTAAGTTTTGTTCTCTTTAGGATTCCCTACGTTCGAATGAAAAACGGAACCCTTATATGATGAATCGCGATCGGCGTCTGGCAGTTTTTCGACAGAATACAGACCACTTCGAATTATTTTTTTCGTGTGTCTGTCCGTCAGTTTTTGTTTTTTAATGAAAGTCCAATAAAAAGATATTGCGAATACTTAAGTAGATTTTATACTTTTAGTTTCATATTTATTTAGCCAGCAACTATGTACCTACATAACAATAATTATGTATTTATTTAAAAACGGTTCTCAATGACGTTCTCACAATTAAATAGATAACATCGTTATCAAAGCTGCCCTTACGGGTCGGGGTGCAAATTTGTCCCAATCAGCGAACAACGGCAATCATCCAAACCAGAGCTTTATGTTTTCTTATAGTCCGCTCCAATTAACCGTGCGTGAGCAATTCCTAAATTTTGCTCCCAATGCGTAAAAAAAGTAAGTTGAAGAAGTCTATTCCATTTCGGATTTTCTCTCTCTAATAATTGCCATGAGTAATAATAAAATTAAGTCATGGGCGGGTTAACGAACTTTCTCGAATCATCAAAACAAGTTTAGTGCATAACCGTTTAATTCGAATAGAATAACAGTAAATAATAATAAAATAATCGTTAGTCTTTGCCATTTATAGAAAACTGGCCACTTAAAACCACCCGCTGGAATGGGATTGATAAAATATTTTTACCTTTCGAGCCGAACATTAACAGTGTACATTTCTGATAAAAAGAAACATAAAATCCAATATTAACGAGATTTGGACCGTTACCAAGGAGCAAACAAAAAGCAATTTGTATTCAATGTTCCATATTAAATTGGTCGTTAATTTTCTAACTAATTTGATTTCAAATCATTGCATAAAAAGAAAAGATATTACAACTGCGCGTTTATTTTCTTTTAAAATAAACGATTAACATGAAAATAGACTCATTACAATTGAAGATAAGAATCTTTTGTTCACTATCTTTCACGTTTTTACACTTCAGTTTACATTTTATATTTATCGCTAATAAATGTCGGCAAATGATCTAATAACTCCATATAATTCAACTTGACCTTTGCACCAAAAAATATTCATTTAAATTAATGTTAGATATCCATAATTTTGAATCTATTCATTCATAGATAGCTTCATAAATTTGTAAACCTGGTGCAATTGGCATGTTCTCATACGTTACCGGCATACCGCACTTGTATTTTTTTTCGACATAGGCAGGGTGTTTCTGAAATAAGTAGCAAGTTTGCTGGGGGTAATAGGGCACTATAAATCAAGAAAGTAAAGTAAATATTTAGTGGTCCAAATGTCCACCGTTTTAGAGGAAAACGTATTTGAAAGTACAGTCCGGCCCTGGTAGGGTTACGCAGGAAAATACGACAATGCAACGCCACATACCATCAGCTGCAGTATCCGTGTTGTACGAGTATTTCTTATGTATTTTGTATTCTTAATACCATGTCGAGGTGTACCTTATATAGTGCTGCATACTATTAGCAACGAACAAGTAGTTATTTAATTGATTGTTGTCGCAGTTTGCATCTAGATTATTATGTGTAGTAGCGTAATAGTAAGCTGTTGAAATTTACTTTATGAGTCGTTCCACAACCGTCACTTTTACATTTTTCATCGATGTTCCTTAATTGTTAATGCAACTTCTCTATACGTTGCCAATTCACGCCCAGGGCCGGCTTCTGACTGTAACTTCGCCTGGTTTTCTTACAAGTTTCTTTGACCTTACTACTTATTTCAGAAACACCCTATATAATATTTAATAATAAAATTCGCAAATGATGGAGAGCATAATTAAGTTCTAATTAAAAAGAAAAAGAAACATTTAAAACTTTGAAATTTTAAATGCCAATAGACAACTACCTACTGATAAAAAGGCACTTACCATTTCGTCGAGACTCTTAAGATCGTTGGTAACAATTTGAGGCAATGGTCCATACATGAGCATTGGTTTTTCGTCTTCGATATCACTGTCACTTTCATCATCGCCATTTTGATTTTCAACGCCGTCCGATGTACCGACGCATTTTCCTAGCCTTCTCTGATCAGCAGCTATTTCTCTGTCAATTTGTCTTTCCATCTGAATAAGCATGGGTGCCAACATACCGAACCTGATAACAAAATTATAAATTAACATGGGTATATACAAAATATGTAGAGTAAAATTTTGTTTTACCTATTTTATAGTCAATTTATTTTTAAATTATTTATTAGAAAATAATTACCTTGCACCCCTTCTGGCGACTTCCAATAGGCATAAGATCACATGTTTTTCATTTTTTCTCATAATCAGGTCGTCTGTTTCAAACAGAAGACATTCTATGATTTTCAATGATTGTCTACACCAGTGAATGAAGTTGCTCACATTATCTCTGTAAAGGAAAGAGAAGAAGGCTTAGATTTTAACCCACGTATAGGAGCAAAAATTTAACCTAAAGAGGCCTGGTATAAAAATCACCATGATCAATGAAAGTTAGAAAACGCAAAAACCTTCTGCTGCGCGATGAGCTTCTACTTCAGTCTCTAATTTACTTCACCTGTTACTCAGTTTATGGGTCTACCTGTTACAGTAGTTTATTTCGTAAGAACCTTGTTACTGTAGAAACTTAAAATTTGACACATGTGGCTAATAAAAACTTTACGGGGAAATTTAGACGGACAGGTGGTGGCAAATATCGCAACTTTTCTCATAAATGTTTAAAATAAAGTTTAACAAGAGACATAGCTTAGAGCAAAGGTCGAGCAAAGGCAGATCGCGGTCCTGGTTCGATCTAGTTCATATTTTTTCGTGGTTTCCTTGGGTCACTTGAGTAATGCTGGGACAGTTATATCCACTGTCTTCTATCTTCATTTAGTACGTCCCATTTTTCTCACCCCAACCACTACCCCCCTCGTTCCCACTATTCCTAAAAGGAGACTGAAGATGACCTTCCGTACTACTTTCCGGCTTAGTCCGCAGCATTAGTAGCTGGTGGGAATAAAACATCCAAAAGGGAATCATCATCAGGTCGTAAGTCCTAAGACTCTTTAGACACGTACCTCCACTCTTTCCTATCCTGAGCTAAGCTTTGCTGCATTTCCCCAAAACTAGAATAACCCATATCCTTAACTATTTTAACTAATCTAATCTGGCCCTATCTCCACCCCTTCTAACTCCCGTTTCTGCCCCTAATATGTCTCTAACTAGACCTTCATGCCTGAGAAGGTGCCCTACCAACCTATCTCGTCTATTTCTTATTGATTTCTATAACGACCCCTGTCCGCTATTTTTAACATCCACCTTCAATATTCGTCCCCCTTTTTTCTGACGGAATAAATGGATACTTGTGTCTTGCCAATCTTCGGGTTTGAGACATAATCTTTCTGACGATGATATCGCAAGACAGAATTCAGTTGTCCACCCGTGGTTTTAATAATGAGATGAACAAGTTGGACGGGAAAACGGGTAAGATCGAAAAGAATCGCTTTGTGAAGGTGAACTTAAAATAAGTGAACTGGTAGATATACGCAATTGAGACGGCGGACAAAAAGAAAGAAAAGAAAAGTGTATCGATTGTGAGTCACCAGAGGTTGTTGATGTTGTCGATTTGTGGATGTTGCTCTGACGATGAGGTGTAATTGTGGGCGTACAACGACAAGATGTCTATAACTACATAATACATTTATCCCTGCATTAAACGTATTAAATAAGTATTGATATTCCAATGTAGGTGACAATCCATTAGCGACAAAAAATTCCTTGAAATTATTTAATCGTATTGCTGTAATTAACTGTTTATAAAACTAGTCATCTGAGCACAGCTATATAGGAAATGACAATAATCCGTTCGTGATAACCAATTTGATAATAAAATAATAAGAAAACTAGAAATAAATAAAAGTATGAAATATATGATAACAAATGGAAGCCAATTTTGCTTTTCTTTATTGTTTTAATGCCGTCTGGTTTTTTTTACCCGTGATATATAATCATTTACGAATTAGAAACATTTTCGAGTGAAAGTAAAAGGTAACAATAATAAACAAATAGGCACTTTGTTCGATAAGACAACCTATTATCTGTTCTATTTATAGTGGATGATGAAAGCAATCGAATTAACAAAGAGAAAACAAATTATAAAAAATATTATTAAACAAACTCCACTTTCTGTTTAAAACTCCGCCAAAACTACCCATACACTACAAGGCCGAAATGGTGAAAAGTGACGTCACTGCTAGGAGGTCTAGCGTAATTCTGCTTACCTCTATTCTAGCGTACTTTTGCAGATATAAAAATATATCTATATATTAAAACAATGAAGGGTTAAACAAGATTTCAAGGTGTGAAATGAGTCCTTCAGTGCTACAGTTTACTTTTTGAAGAATATAGTCATCCATCATCATCATCAGTACCATACAGATAGTGCAATTGTTACTTCTAAGGGACACCACCGTATTTATTTAGGATTAACCCAGTGCAACTAATTTTTCTTTTTACAATTATCTTATTATATTTGTAAATTAATTACCATCCATCTCAATTTCTTCAAAATCATCACTTTAGAATGAAATCAATGTCCTTCGCATGGTTGAAATATTTTGTTATTGTAAATTTGGTGCAAGCAATAAAAACTAGAATAATCATGTTTTCTATGAAGTATGACAAACCTTTTCGAGTGAAATTGTTCATAAAACTGTGCAAAACTTGTGATTATTTAAGTAACAGCGTGCTAGGTTATTATACAAACCTATTATAAAGCTAGTGTATATGATCTTGGCACTTTTGGCTTATTCTGACAAGCTTTCCAAAAAGTCGTCCATAAGATCAACCAATTTGTAATTTTTTGCCCAACGGATTTTTCCTGAGATGGTTGAAAATTGTTGAAATACGGTTGCTGAGAGCGATTATGACAAGAAGTACAGCATCGGCACACTTAAATTACGCAAGGTGACAAACCTACACCAATGTGTTAAGAAGAGCGATAGGTATTTTAAATTCGACTTGGTTTGGATCTAGATAGATTTAATACTCATCATCATCATAAGGTCATCAGTCCTAAGACTGGTTGGACTGGTACCTCCACTCTTTCCTATCCTGAGCTAAACTTCGCATTTCCCCAAAACTAGAACAGCCCACATCCTTAACTATTTGCGAATAGTAATCTAATCTAGGTCTACCTCTACTCCTCTTAACTCCTGTTTCTGCTTCTAATATGTCTCTGACTAGACCTTCATGCCTGAGAAGGTGTCCTACCAACCTATCTCGCCTATTTTTTATTGTCTTCCATAGAGTCCTCTGTTCTCCTATTCTTTCCAATACCTCTTCATTTCTAACCTTTTCTACCCACGATATCCTCATCATCCGCCTATAACACCACATTTCGAAAGCTCCTAACCTTTTCTTTTCCGCCGCTCCCACCGTCCATGTTTCACACCCGTACAGCGTCGCGCTCCAAACATACTCCTTTAACAACCTTTTTTGAATTTCTAAATTAACCGTTCGCGAGCATAGAAGTGACATCTTTTTATTAAAGGCGACACGACCCTGCGCTATCCTCTGCTTTATATCCCTACTACTCCTTCCATCCTGACTTATCTGACTTCCTAGGTATCTAAAATCAGCCACTTCTTCTAATTCTTCGTCTCCTATCTTTATATTCGCTCTTTCTCTTGCATATCAGTATTTTAGTTTTACTTTTATTTATTTTCATACAGTACTGATCTGTCAGATTTAATACTACTAAAAATTGACTAGTAAAGAACCGTTTTCCTATTAGCCACTAACCCTGGCCTTTCATATACCATCTACTTTACATTTCGTTTGAACGTATACGGAACGGAAGATAGATAGCATGTGAACGGAACATATAATAAATAGAAATGGAATGTAAGTGAGAAGCGACCTTAAGTCGGTCAAAAAGGTCGACTTCCTTGTTTCCGTACACCGCTTACCTAACCAATCAGAAACTTGTAGAATAGGGCCAAAAGTTGTAAGTAAAAATCAATATTGTCATATTGGCTTCTTTACCAAACACAACGGTTAACTTTACCTATAAGCTGCTAATTACCGTTACAAATGTTAAATAAACTTATAGAGAACATGAGGAGTTTGAGACTACATTAAATTAAATCGAAATTCCAAATAAGAAGAGACAGTTATATTTTTAGGTGTGACGATGACTGCAAAGTTTAATAAACCTAACGACACGTTTACATAATATGTTGTTTTACTTTTTAGGCATAATTTTGTATGGGAGGTTTTTTATTTTCCTTAATACAATACTGCACATTGCATTTAATTATAGACCAATTATCTGATTATTAATTGATCAGAATCATCATTAACATAAAGTTTTCATCGGTTGGACACGCACCCTCTACTTCTTCGCATTTTTCCAAAACTAGAGAACCTAACTATTTGCGATCAAATCTAGGTTTGCTTTTGCCCCTCATAACTCTTGTTTCTGCATCTAATATGTCTCTAACTAACGCTTCATGTCATACACATGTATCAATATCATCATCATCATAATATCCTCAGTCCTAAGACTGGTTGGACACCTCCACTCTTTCCTATCCTGAGCTAATTTTCGCATTTCCTCAAAACCAGAACAACCCACACCCACAACGATTTAGTGTCTCTGACTAGACCTTCATGCCTGAGAAGGTATCCTACCTACATATCTCGCATATTTCTTATTGATTTCCATAGAACCCTCTATTCTCCTATTCTTTCTAATATCTCTTCATTTCTAACCTTCTCTATCAACGGTATCCAATCATTCGCTTGTAACACCACATTTCGAACGTTTCTATCCTTTTTTTTTTCCGCCGCACCCATCGTTCATGTTACGCACCCGTATAGCGCCGCACTATAAACATACACGTTTAATAATCTTTTTCGAATTTCTAAATTAACCGTTCGCGAGCTTAGAAGTGTCTTTCTTTTATTGAAGGCGACTCAATCCTACGCTATCATCTGCTTTATATCCCTACTACTCCTTTCATTCTGACTTATCTGACTTCCTAGATACCTAAAATCTTACGTTTACGTTGGTAGGACCTCATTTCAGACATGAAGGACTAGTTAGAAGATTAGAAATGAGGAGGTATGAGAAACAGTACGAAACAGACCGCGTTATGGAAGACAATAAGAATAGGCAACTTAGGTTTAGGTTGGTAGGACCTCTTTTCAGATATGAAGGGCTAGGTAGAAGATTATAAATGAGGAGGTATTAGAAATGGTAGGAAACAGAAGGTTTTACGGAATACAATAACAAATAGGGAGTTATGTTGGTATGACACCCTCTCAGACATGAAGAGCTAGTTAGAGATATATTAGAAGCAGAAACAGAAGTTAAGAGGAGTAAAAGTAGACTTAGATTACTGTTTGTTTAATAGTTAGAGATGTAGATTACTTGACTTTTTAAAAAAAGCGAAGATTGTCTCAAGATGAGAAGAAGTGGAGGTGCATGTCCAAACATTCTTTGGACTGAAAACCTTATGATAATGATGATGAAGTAATAGTATTCGTCCACTCGGGTGTGCAGATATACAGCACGAATATAAAGACACATTGTAGTTCGCAAAGAATCTCTGCTCCTACGCACTCATTATAAGTAGGTACATGAGTAATCCCGATCTTCAGCAAACAGCAAAACAAATAAAACGAAAGGTTACCTGCCGTTCACAATGGTATTTTTCGACGAGCGTGTTTATTTTTGTGATACCGTCATGTTCAGGCAAAATTACGACGAAATTATTATTAACCATGAACAGGTGTTACGTGGTTATTCGATGCTCTTTACAAAGAATCGCTGAAATAATTATTTAGGAAGATGCAGGCAGCAGCGTCTGGCGATGCGGCGACATACGTACATTAATAACAAGATAAGATGAACATCGATATTACATAAAAATGATTATAATTGCTTAATCATATTTGCTTAATATTTCCGATAGGAACGAATAAAGTCGGAGTATCATCTTCTTCATGGTAAGATGATGACAAATTAAATTCATTTTGGGCTGGTGTTTTTCATTCTTTGATTTTGAATTTTGTTGGGATTCTACAATATGTAAAGCAAAAGTTCCTAGTTAGCAATCTGATGGACGATTTTGACCTCTTTGAATCTTATCAGCACGCCGTAGACAGAACATGGATCAATTTACTTGGAACATTTAAACGGTGAGGTGATCAACACCTTGACAGATTTGCTACTAACTATCTATTTTAATCTAGAGATTATAATGGCATTCAAGAATTTAGACTTTTATGACTTTAAAATGTTCGGTTAGTCTCTAAATGAATAACACAACCCTGTAGGTTCACTTTGTTATCCTTCTGACTGTTCGTTAAAAGTCAAGACCTTTTTTTTTAGGAACGGATCAGAGTACTCATGTTTAGGTGAAAATATCAAATACTAATACAGCAACAGCTTTACATAGTTGAGAAATAAAAGTACTAAGTTTCTAACTCAATGCGATAAGTTACTGACTTTGGCGCACATATTGGTTGTGTTTGAATGAGCATCAACATAAATAAATATTTAGACAAACCTCGAAAAGAAAGTTCCTGGTTTGGCTGTAGCAAAAAATTTGACGTCCGGTATCTCCACAAGGGTCTGCGCCTGAGCCAAGGACCCTGTAACGCTGCGGGTCATGACCTTTCTAGCTTGCTTTTTTTGAACATATTCTTGAGCTTGAACTTTCACAGCGTTGGCATGCTGAAAAAAAAAAGAAAACAATAAATTAATATTTGTCTTCAAAATTAATCATACAACTAGTTTTTATTCACAAGAATCAATACCTATCTAATAAAAATAATACCATGGGTACTAACAGATTTAGAAATGTGTTCGATTACAAAACAAATTACTTCAGTAAATAGAAAAAATTGTGGTTAGAAGAATAATTAAAAAAACGTATCACATTAAATAAACAAGACTAAGATTTAACACGCAAGACAAAGATCAAGACCGAGACTATACAAGCCAAACCAAGACTGGAAGTATTTGAGCAAGACCAAGATCAAGGACCAAGTCCAAGACCAAGACTATATAAGTAAGATAAAGATCAAGACTGTCCAAGATTAAAAACATCACATTAAATGAGCAAGACTGACTAAACACGCAAGACCAAGATCAAACTATATAAGCAAGATCAATACCAAGACCAAGTCCAAGACCAAGACTGAATAAAGATCAAGACTGTCCAAGATTAAAAACATCACATTAAATGAGCAAGACTGACTAAACACGCAAGACCAAGATCAAGATCGAGACTATATAAGCAAGATCAATACCAAGACCAAGTCCAAGACCAAGACTGAATAAGTAAGACCAAAACCAAGACTGTCCAAGATTAAAAACATATCGCATTAAATGAACAAGACCGACTTTTAACACGCAAGACAAAGATCAAGACCGAGACTATACAAGCCAAACCAAGACTGGAAGTATTTGAGCAATAGCAACATCGAAGACCAAGTCCAAGACCAAGACTATATAATTAAGATAAAGATCAAGACTGTCCAAGATTAAAAACGTCACATTAAATGAGCAAGACTGACTCAACAAGCAAGACCAAGATCAAGATCGAGACTATATGAGCAATGACAATACCAAGACCAAGTCCTAGATCAAGACTGAATAAGTAAGACTAAAACCAAGACTGTCCAAGATTAAAAATATATCGCATTAAATGAGCAAGACCGACTTTTAACACGCAAGACAAAGATCAAGACCGAGACTATATAAGCAAGATCAAACTCAAGACTAAGACTGGAAATAATTGAGCTTGACTAAGACCAAGAACCAAGACCAAGATTAAATAAGTACGACCAAGACCAATACCAAGACATGGACAGTCTTGGTACATGTTTTGCTCAACACTATGGTGTACGGTTTAAAGAGAGATGGGCTTAACCATAGTAATACGTAAACGTAGAAGTAGGAATGTTTTCAAAACTAAAAAAAATTTAGCGGTTAAGAAGAAATCTTCCTTAACTAGAATAGAATTAGTTGCATTAAAGATTCTCAAGTTATTATCAAAGTTTGATTGTCGATAATCACGGATACAGAGAGAAGCATTTAATACGTACTATTGCAAATATTGAAATACGGTAAGTAACTGATATAAGTGAATTTCCATGTAAGCCGAAGTATTGCAAATCCTGTTTCGTGCATATACATTATTAATTTCGTAAGAAAGATTTCTATTCATTTCGGCAGCGCATCCTTGCCCTTTTAAGTTCAACGTCTCAAGAGTTCTTTCTTTTGAAGATAAGGCGATCTGGGTAGGCTGGTAATTTGCTAATTGGCTAGCTGCTCACTATAAATATACATACATACACATACCTGTCTAACATCAAGTCAGTCTTTACGAAAACAAAGTCGTCAAGATAAATTGGTAGATAGCAGTCAGCCGTAGCCACTGGTATTTGTATATTATCACAAGCACACAATACAAAAATACGTATGTAAGCATTCCCATAAATTCCGAAGGTAGGTACAATATGTTGCAAAATTTTGTAGTACAAGATTCATAGTTGAAAGCCCACTTAAAACATTCTGAAGAAGAAATCTGTATGTCGCAGCTAATTGAACGCTACTTTCAATTACGCCTTAGCTTTTCCGAAGGAAGGGCTGTCATTAAAAGTGGCTAACACTAGTCTAGAACCGAACGGCATATCCTAGTGGCTTAGACCATTGCTTAGCATTCGGGAGGACGCCAGTTCAATTCCTGGTCCGTCTGCTTTGGTCCAAGTTTTTCTGTGGTTTCCTTGGATCACTTAGGTAAATGCTGCTGGGGCAGTGATCTTCCACAGATAATAATCTTTCATTCTCTTCCATCTTCATTATCACCTTTCTTTCTCATCCGAACCACCACCTACCCATTCCCATGATTCCTGAAAGGAGGCTGAAGAGGGCCTTCCGCCCTACCTTCCGTTCGATTCCGGGTCCGCCGTTTGTCTTGGTCCAAGTTTTTCTGTGGTTTCCTTGACACTTAGACAAATGCCAGAACTGTAATATTCCACAGATAATCTTTCATTCTCTTCTGCCTTCATTTCATCCGTCTCATCTTTCTCACCCGAACCACTACCCACATATTTCTACGATTCCTGAAAGGAGGCTGGAAAGGACCCTTCGGCATAGCCCGGAGGGACTGCCCGTCCAGCAGCATTAGTGGCTGGTGGGAATGAAACACCCTAAAGTTTTTTTTACTAGCCTGGATCGAACTGAAGGTAGCGAACTAGTTGAAACGATGCGATGGGTCCATTATCGACGGTGCATATGGTGTTCCATTATTTGTTTAATCGAATGTACCAAGTTGCATGCAGGATCAACATACTTAATAAGTATAACTACGTACCCACATATACATAGGTGTTTGAACTTAAATGTCGACTGCCGGTCGGTCGTAGAATTTCGACGGCAAGGACGTCCCGTCGTTGCAGTGGGCTGTGGCAATTTTGAAATAGACATTTTTGAGGAACAGGTTGCATTGTGCAGGATGGGTGTATAAGAATAATGTATACATAAGTCGAACCTACTGTTAACATTACTACATTACATGGAGCTGGATTAGTAGAGCATGGCTGCCAAACCTAGCATGTGACATACGGATATGGGAATATGAATGCTCCTTTATAAAATGCGAGATTAATCAATGTAAATATACGTATAATTGGTAAATGCTTTCGCGGCCAGTAGGTAAACTGATTCACATCCAGTATGGAAGATGGAAGAACCTTTGAAGAAGTTCGAAACTCATGTGAGCGAAACATTATGAAATAAATTCAACTGTCGACGGCTTTAGATCCCAATCAGGACAGTATCAGTTCAATACGAGGTCTGTTCACAAAGTTTCGCGTTTTTTGTGTTTTTTCAAAAATTGCAAGAACTCATGATGCACCGCGACCCTAGAATCGAACAAAACTGTAAGCAAAACCTTCACATTCGACCTAACTTGGGGCGCTTTTATCGATCTTGGCTCGTGCAGCAGCTGCCATTGGGATGATTGAGCTTTGACCTCCACGTTATAACCAAGAACCTCTGATTCGTCACCAGATATGAACCTCTGCAACAAATTTGGTTCATCGCACGAGTCCAACAGCTCCTTAGCAATGTATGATGCGATGCCGCTTTTGGTCGAAATTGAGCAATTGTTATACGAATTTCGGGGCGACCCGTCTCATGCCCAAATCATCTGTAAAAATCGAATGGCAAGAGTCAATCGATTTGTTTAGATCCCCTTCGCGTGCTGATGGAAGATACCTTGTTTTTACTCTACGTATGACTGATTCTTGATTCCTTTTACACAATTTTAAAATAAAGGCTAAAATTTTTTTGGAACAGATCCCCTACTAACTTTGGCTACGAACCGCCACTGCTTTAGAGAAAACGACCAAAAGGACTACCAGAAAATGTCAAAAAATAAAATTAATCGGTTTCTTCAAAACGATGGACAGATTAGTTAAAAATAGAAAAGGAGTGCATAAAAATGTTTTTACCTACTCACTTCTCAAATAAGATAACGATAAACTTTGCACTATTAGAATGTAAATTAATCATTTTCCTAAACCGCAATAAAGAAAACAAACATTCCAAAAGGCCAGGCATTTTTCCCACATTAACCATTCGAAATATTACTTAATTAATTTTATCCGTTACGTCGGTCGATCATTAAAATTCAATTCCTAAATTTCCAAAGTGGAACGACCAGCCAAATTTACATGTAAAAACAGTTGAAATAACGAACAAATCTACCATACAGGTATGCGAATAAATGTATACACACTTATGCAGCAACAGAGGGTTCCCCACGCAACAATTTCATAAACCGTAGCATAAGTAAGGTACTACTCCGCCCATTCGAAGTTTCATCAATTAAAATTTACGATCGACGTTATTATCATATTTGAGCATGGAAAATGGTAGTAATAATGTAATAATGCTTAATAAACTGGAAGCTAGTTTGCACTGTTAAAGAAGTAATTATTATTATGAAAAACATAAACAATATTTTATGTACATAACAATATTTTTTTATATGAGTACTATGTATATTTGGACAGGTAGAATCATTAATATTCTGAGTAATACAAATATTGATTTGGTTAATCAGCTAATTAATGGAAGATTTTGATAACGGGGAGTCGACTCCTATAGATTCTAACATGCTTGATAAGAATATGAATGAATTTTCCAATAACAACTGAAATAAAAATGTTATGATTAAAGTTCAAAAAAATCCTGCTCTCTAGTGATACATATTGGCATTATACAAAATGAATGCAATATTCGAATTTAACATGTTCGAATTTGTCAAAATCAAGTTTTATATATTCAAAATTGAAGAATAAGTTTGGTCAACTTTAATGCCCCTTGGCGGAAAAACTAGTCCTGGAATCGGAAACCGCCCAACTGAAAAACTACTCAAGGGCATCTGTTCTATTCCTATTTGTAATCATCTCTGTTCTTAGGATGTTAAGTCTCGATGCACAGCAGCAGGGGTGTTACGATTGTTTCTGTCACGAAAAAGCGTTACGGTCGCATGGAGGGGGTAAACGGTATATCGCGTAGTAAGAGGCGGCAGCGGAAGAGAGAGAGAAAGATTGGCAGCGGTCAAGAGAAGGCATCGGCTGTATTAGATGGAAATAATGCGCAGCCGCGCGGAAAGTGGGGAGTCCGCTTAGAGTCCCGATGGCGTGTGCTGTGCTCAG